GATGGTCTTTAAGGTCCCTTCCAACCAAGACATTCTATGATTCTATGATTCTTCATTGCTCTTGCCTCCAGGAGGTCGTCTTTCTTGTACTGGAAGCCCAGAAGCAAGCTTTGTGCTTCAGATGTGTCTCACCAGGGCTGAGTAGAGGGGAAGGAAAGGACCATCTCCCTTGACCTGCCAGTAATGCTCTGCCTAATGCCCCCCAGAATGTGGTTGGCATTCTTTGCTGCAAAGTCACATTGTTGGTTCATGTTCAGCCTGTTGTTCACTAGGACAACCTGTTGCCCCAGGTCCTTTTCTGCAAAGTTGCTTTCCAGTCATTTGGTCACAGCCTGTACTGGTGTATGAGGTTTTTCCTCCCCAGGTTCAGGTCTCAAACAGCTGGGAAAGACTCAAAGAAAACAGTAAAAACTCTCAAACAGCTGAGAAGCAGTGACTACTAAATCAAAAATTACTTTCATATCCAAGACTGAAATACACATTGTCCACACCTATGCCTTAACTTTGGTACAATGGCAGCAGGTCAGGTGGTTCTTCAGGCACTAGCGTCATGAGCCCATGTTAAACCCGTGCCAACTCAGAGAGGCTATACAGGCACACTTACCACCAGCCGCTAATACATGTTTATTGTTTCTACTGATGCCATGTTTTAAAGCTTAAAAATCAGAACAATTTAGCAGTTCCAAACACTGCTGCATAAATGAGCAGGTCAGTTTCAACCAGCATGCCTCAAGAACTATAGTGCAGCAGATGACTCACCCTTTGAGCTTTGTCTTTTAACTCCTGATCTTGAGCTAAGAAAGCTTGCATCCTCTTTTGGATGTCTGTAAGTTTTTCAGGATTAATTCTAATTAAAAAAAAAAAAAAAAAAAAAGAAGAAAGTCAGCTTTAATTATTAGAACATGCAAAAAATAAGCACCTATTATGTTCTCATGAGTATCTTCACACTTTTTGCATTGCTTTAATATGCATAAAGTTATTACCACTCTGAAATAGCTTAGAATGGAACCTTACTAACGATCAAGCATACACTCCTCAAACAAATAATACAGAAAAGACAAATGGGGGAGCTTGGACTTTTTATCCATATACAGTTTTCAGTGAAGGTGGTGAAACTTCTTCCAAAGCAAAGCCAAAATCAGTAGTAAAGAACTCCTTGAATTTATAAAAATGCTGAGAAAAAGATACAGAAGAAGCATAATGAATTATAGTAGTACTTTCTCTTGAGATAGCAGTCTTCATAAGGGAAATCTCAGCATTTCTGAAAGCTTAAATAAGATCCATTGCCCTGGGAATACTGAAATTTAAGTACTACTTTCTTACGGCCAGACGAGCAAAAATAAAGGATGTGAGGAGATCTTAAGTCCACTTAATCTCAAAGATATTGATCAGGTGAACAGTGATTAAAGATCTTAAAGATCTTATTGATCTTTAAGAACAGTAACTGTATTATAGAAAATGCCACTGAACCTAATAAGAAGGTATGCAAGTCCTCTCCCAGAGTCTGGATTTTTACACTTATTCCAGTGATACCTACACTATTCCAGGTTTATTCACCCAGATCTTTTATTATCTACTTCTTGTTTTGATCTGCTAGTGTCACCCACATGTATCATACAACCTACCAACACCGTAGCAGGTTAGCCCTCAAGCAGAGGTCAAGAGAGATGCACAACTACCACATTTCTTAATCTGGTTCTTGCTGGTGTATGCCACATCATCTCATACTGTACAACAAAACATAGCCTTTGCTGAAGGAAGTCAACAACAAAAAAAAGAATCAAAATCTTGCCTCTTCACATTGTATGTCGGTCTAAAAAACATGACTCATTAAAATACTAGGCAAGAAATATTTTAGTCATTTTTTGTAACATAAGCCATTATGATCATCTATTATTCTTATCAAATATGAAAGCAGCAATTAAGCAATGGGTTAGAGGGTATTACCAAAGAATACTTTAAAGACATCAAGCTTTATTCTCTCACCATTTCAATTTCTTATCTCTGTCAGATACAGCCAGTGGAAAACTGTAGTACACACAAGAGCTATTTAGCTACAGTTTTACTGAAAGATCAAAAAGCTGAGCTCCAGTTTCAAGCCAGCACATAATTTGCTCTGAAAGCGTACAGACATAAGAAAGAAAAGAAAGAAAAGACATGAAAAATTCAGTGAGGGACAAACTGACCAACAAGTCTTTGAAATGCAATGCAGGATGGAATGCACACAAGATACTAAAACAGAAAAAATAAATAGAGAAGGCTTTTCTAGATTTTTTTTCTCTAACACAAGATTGAGAAGGTGACAACAAAAATATTTATGATCCTAACAAAGGAAAAATGGTAGAATACTAAAATAAAAGTAGTGGCCTGCTTAATACCAAATCGTATTAGAAGGTACAAACACAAAATATACTATCTCACTGCAGAGGAAAGACAGGAGGAAGAGTAAAAAGGCTGGTTAGATGAAATCAAGATGTTTACAATGACCTGAAACTCAAGGAGAAAGCTTAAAGTAGAACTGGAGACAAGTATAAAAACAGCACAAATACACTGGCATAAATAAGAATTACAAGCACAAAATGAGATACAAAAAGCAAAGAAGAGATAGCATGAATAACAAAAAAAAAAATTAACATGAACGCCAGTAGTAAGACAGCCCAGAGAAGTCTTGGATTGCTCGTAAGTTATGGGAAAGCTATTAAGATATGACCTCAAAGGCACTTAAATTAGCTAGTGTCTTTTTTTCCCTTGTCTTCACCCAAAGTGGCAGCTGCAATCAGACAGCTAACAACTGCTACAGCACAGCCCAAGCTCACACCAGAATCACAAATCACAGGATAACAGGTACTTGGATAAATCAGCTGGGTCAAAAGAAATTGCTCCATAGCAACTAGAGAGAAAGTCAAAGCACTTGGATTCATAGTTGTTATCTATTCTTCAGAACTTATCTGAGATAGATAAAAATCTATAAGACAGGGCAAGTAAACATAGTGCTTATCTTCAAAGGGGGCAAAAAAAGAGAAGTTAAATGATTAACTTTTTTCTTGATACCAAACAAACAATTTGGAAGCACCTAAAGAAAATAAGCAAACATACAATGGCCAACATAGCTTAGTCAGAAGCAAAACATGACTAATCAGTTTGATTATCCTCCATAGCAGCATTAGCAGGCTTTAAGAATAGGAAAGAAACAGCAGATGTCATATTTGATGCAGCAAAGCATCTGGCAGTTGCACATTCTCCTAAGCTAGGGAAACATGGTCTACGTGAAATCTTTAGGTAAATGCAAAACCGGCCTTGGAGCTGTACTCAGAGTACCTGGGACTGTCAGCTACTCACTGTTGTCACTGTCAAACTCAAAATGCATACCAAGTCCAAATTCTCACCTGGGCCCGCTGTTACCATTCTTTTCTATGACTTGATTCTTGTAGGAATATGATTCATTATTTTAAGAGACAATATGCCATTGGGGCTCCAAGAGTAATGGACAATAATCTTAGACAAGATGTAACAACATTTTGTTGACTGTACATAAATTTTAGTTTGAGTAATTTGGTTGAAATTTGCAAGAAAAGTGTTTGAAAGAGACAAAAAATACAAGATACTTTACAGTTAAAAGCATGACAAGATAACGTGGCGTAAATCTAAGCAATGTCAACCAAGAATATGGTGCCTGTAGCACATTTTGAGGTTATGCGTCTGTTAATGAATGAGTAAATTTGCAACACTGAATATCAAAAAAAAGTGTCATAATAGTGGATTCATTCCTCTCTAACGCTGTAGCGTGACAGTCACTCACTGTGGTCTTCATCTCATGCAGGGATTCCAAAAATATGAAAGCCAGTCATTGATAAATTGGATTTTGGTTTTAATGAGTTCGCATGTTATTTCTTCCTGAACAAATAAAACTCTCTATAATAATTATATACATGTGACTATTTGGAGAGACAAACCTAAAATCTAAAGACTTAAATGAATTATTGTCATTTATAAGCTTGCCTAAACAGCTAAGAACCAGTGAGCTAGAACCAACTATGCAAAGACTAGAAGGAGATTTTATGACATTGTCTGTCATTTTAACTAGGCTGTTTATTTCTTTTCTTACTCTGTGAGCACAAATCTTGCCTTTAAGGAGCAGAATAACTTTTTGAAGTCGCGGTTTTGCCTAACAGTTGCATAAAAGGCCACACTTGATTGTAAATTCGTAAATATGAACTCAGCTTGCTTGGTCTTACAAACCGATCGGACAGCATTCTCCAAATTTCCTGGTCAATATGCACTCTGCTTTCCTCTCATTTCTCCCGTTTTTAACACCAGGGTACAAGCACTGCTTTAAGTAGATACTCTCTCTTCCCCATCCTCTCCAAAGCAGATTTTAAACAAAAAAGCTCAACAACCACCAAAAAGATCATGTAGCCATGATGTAGTAAAACAGTTTCCATATTCCACCCAGCTTCCAAGCAGTAGCAATACCCAAGAAACATCTAAGAGTGATGAATATCCAAGTGTCCTCCACTGTCAGAAAAAAAGGTGGTTTGTTGTCGTCATCGTTTTCTTCAAGAACCAATTTTGGTCATAATATTAAAGAAAACAGTATTACATTGTGGGTATCTACATACTTGCACTTCGTCTGGTAAAATTTTCAAGACACAAAATTTGTTATGATAACCCCTCAGGAAGCAGCTCTTATCTTGTTACTCAGCAAAACTGGACGTGATGAAGTGGTCTTAAGGTATTATCAAAAACAATTTCAGCTTACAGTTTGCATCTAAAACTTTGAAATTATAGACTCCTTATAAACATGTATACAATATTTAACACTTTCAGAGTAGCTTTTTGCCATATTTGAATGCTCTAAAATACAGTATTTATTATCGCATATTTTCCATTTTCTCATGCTCTGTTTGAACAATGAAAAAGAGAGATATTGTTAAAAGCGCTACCTGTAAATTGGCAGCTTGTGCTGATTAGAAAGGAACAGTATACTAACAGGCTTTACAGGGAGCTTAGACTTAAAATTGAAAATTAAGAAAACATCCCAAACCCTAGCCTTTTGAATAGGTATTCAGAAAAAGAAAAAAGTTCTTCCCCTCTTTCTTTCAAATTATGGAACTGTAAAAACTCTGTCTAAATGAAATAAAGAAATGTTAAGAGCTGTTTGAGAGTCAGAAAATACAAAACAAGGAAAGTAACAGAAAACTGGTTCTTGTGATCCCTAGGCAAGACAACAGGTTAACAAGAACAGCAAAACAAACACTTTAATTAACAGTGACATTTCAGAAACAAAAAGCTTTCAGAATGATTTTCAGAAGTTTGAAGAGTTAAAACTCTGCTGGCAGCAAACAATGCTCAATTCCTGAGAATCTATAATTAGGTGAACATACACAAACACCATCAGAAGACTTCAACAGAAGACCTGGAACACGATCCATGGGTTGATGCAACTTCTTCCACAATTTGTCAACAGACAAAGCACACCAGGGTTGTATTAATTGGGAAACTGGGTAGAAGTAAACAACCTGTAAAACTCTGCTGGCAGCAAACAATGCTCAATTCCTGAGAATCTATAATTAGGTGAACATACACAAACACCATCAGAAGACTTCAACAGAAGACCTGGAACACGATCCATGGGTTGATGCAACTTCTTCCACAATTTGTCAACAGACAAAGCACACCAGGGTTGTATTAATTGGGAAACTGGGTAGAAGTAAACAACCTGAGAAAATTTGTTGGCAGCAAACAATGCTCAATTCTTGAGAATCTATAATTAGGTGAATATACACAAACGCCACCAGAAGACTTCAACAGAAGACCTGGAACATGATCCATGGGTTGAAGCAACTTCTTCCACAATTTATCAACAGACAAAGCACACCAGCATTGTATTAACTGGGAAACTGGGTAGAAGTAAACAACCTGAGAAAATTTGTAGTTAAAAACTTTTAAGATGAAGCTAGTTTGCAATCCACAAGTAATTACAAGAATTTTTTTTCTTTAAGGATTTTAGTTAGCCTTTTACAAGTACAATCCTAAACTATTTAAGCCTTAACCATACTAGGCAGACAATTGTGAGTAAAAGTATTCCCCTTCATTATGACGCTACAAATACCAATAAGGTATGTTTGGCAGATTGAAAAACTGGATCTCAAGGCAGGGTGATAAAATACATTATCAGTCAAAAGCATTGACTTTGGTTATAATGATTCCAGTTAAGAATGTTATTTAAACGTATTTATTCTACATATGCCTCAGTGGCTTGGTAAAAGAATTAATTTTTGGGGTGGTGTTCAAAATAAAAAGGAAAAAAAAAAACAGCATAGTTTTCTATTGATGTAACATCAGATTAGGAAGAATGTGTTAAGAGATGCAGCCATGGATGTCTCTCCAGAGACACATCTAACTTGGATTATAAAGAGAAGATGTATTTATGGGGGGGGAAATGAAATATTTTCCGTATTAAAATCAAATTGTTATTCTGGTCCAAAAATACCAATTTGGATTTACATGGATAAATACATACTAAAGAGATTTTTTTACCATTTTCTATGATAAGCTGTTCAAACAATTAACTGCATTACTCAAGAAGTTAAAAGCTTAGCTGTCAAAGAAAGGTGAAATATCTATAATGTGCATGACATTAGACGTTTATTTAGTGAATATCAAAATAAGATAAGTTATTTGAATAACAATCATTTTGAGAAGGAAAAAGATGATGTTTGGAAAAAGAGACAATTTGCTTAGGCTGTGGTGGTTATACGATAGATCTTTTTAAAGTGCTATATGCTTAAATGAAAAGAAAATATCAGACTTTAATTCACTTTCTTTACTGATATTGTTCACATTCAGTTGGGGTTTTTTTTTTTGTTCAGGTTTTTTGTTGCTGTGTGGTGGGTTTTTTTTAAAACAGCAATGTCAAAAGAAAGCTTTAAGCACAATTATACTTCTGGTAGTTGTTTGACTCCATTCTAGTCCTGTTTTAGCAAAAGCTGACTTATGTTTGAAGTTCACACGTGTTCTACACAGAATTGATACATGTGTTTGACCAGAAAAGGTGTATTTACTTCACTGGCTGCTGTGTATTCAGTTTGTTACACAGAAGCACCATTCACAAGTGCAGTTCACAAGTGCCTCTGAAATGGCATATCCTATACATCAAAAATACTTTAAAAAAATAAAACTAAACCTTAAATCTGGAAAGTGCTATATGCATGTTTCTATTCTCTGCAGAAATGACAACCTGTTAATTTCGATCAGACCTGAAAGTTTAAGCAATGAGGTAAAAATACCCACTTAAAAGTTTCACGCTATTTTGATTTCTTCTCAAAAATAAATGTTCCACAAACACCTTCTGCATACAGTTAATTACCTTCTTTGCTTAGATATCCATATCTTCACATTCAAGTCACAGCTTTTCAAAGTAAAACAGTGCTAGCCTTACTCATACCTGCTTGTACAGAAGCCTAATTTTCTACCTTGTCATCCTCCTCCAAATTCTTCTAGCTCCACTCTGTGATTTTTGGCATGGTGTAGCCTGAACTATGCAAGTATTCAAAATGCAGTCAGGCTCATACCACATTTTCTGGTTTGCTTTCAATTCTTCCGTATTTCCTTCACATCCTGTTTCCTCTTTTGATTTGACGTTAGACTAACAGGCTCAAAGAACAATGAACTTCTTCCTACCTATAGCTGCTAACTAAGAAATTACCACCAATTCTCTTTAGTGGTGGTTGATTTGGGTTTTTTTATTTTTACAGTTACGAGTTTCTGTCTTTCCTACATGTCCATTACTCACATTTAATAGAAATTAGAAATGTGAGTGCTTTTTTATTTTCACATGATGTCATTATACGCTTCTGCAACTCTTTCAAAGTCAGTTCTCTTTTGTACAGATAGCACAGATCTCTACAGATTTCCATTGGAATACTCTCTCTAGCATGCAAAATGACCATTTAGCCACATCTTTTACTTCCTGTTCTTCAACTAACTGATTCACAAAGATCATGACAAACTGGAGAAATAGTCTAGAACTAAAGAAAAGACAGGTAAGAGAAACAAGAATGATAACAGGTATAAAAACCATACAAGGATAGATTAAAGAAATTGTAATTTTTTAATCTGCAAAAGAAAAGAATAGAAAGAGATAGCATGATAATGTTCAATTACATAAAAAATAGTTCCAAAGAATAAGAGAATACATCATTTTCCACATATTCTTGGCACAGGACAAAAGAAACACTTCACTTAAATTACTTACAAGGCCTATCAGACACTTGAAGAAAAAATGTTAACGGTAGGAACTGTTGAGTATAGATGAGATCACTTTGGGAAATTGTGAAAATATTAATTGGCAAGTTAGACAAGCATCTGATAAGAATGATTTGTGCAGCTGATCCTGCCTTTGGGAAAGGAGATGGAATAGGTAACCTCTCAAGGTCTTTTCCTTCTACAACAGTATCAAAACAAAATGATCTCCCTTGTTTGTCCAGCTCCAGGCAATTCAAGCACTTTATCAGCATTGTCATAGACTCATCAGACATTATTCCCGTAGAAAGAAGGCTGAATAACAGACAAGCTATTAGTCACTTACTTGATTTCACTGATAGGCACTTTCCTCTGCGCCAGCTGTTCCACCATGCCTTTTTCCTCTGAGGGAAGCAATACTAACAAAGCTTCACCACCTTCTTTGTATCTGATCAGTGGGGAAAAAGAAAAAAAAAAAGAGAGACCTCAAGCAAACATGCAGAAAAATACAATTTTTGTTGATGTTTTCAATAACCAAATAGAATATACATTTGCTTCCTTATAAGCATCCCAAAGAGCAAACAAAAAATACTCATTTTACAAAGGGAAAAGAAGCGGTAAACCAGCTAAGTGACTTGCTAAGATCTCCACTTGTGCCGATTTCAAAACTATGCCTAGAGCCCTAAACATGGATTCAGGTCAGTGGATCTTTTCTTTCCTAGATTAGAAATATTAGTGGCAATCAAAGCTTACAGTACTAGAAGATCTAGCTACTTGCATTCATCCTCTACCAACAGGTAAGTCTTAACACTTGGTAAGAACTGATTCTCCTTTGCATATTCTGCAAGTGAAAGAAGGTAAAGGCTAGGAAGGATAAGTGCCTTGATCCCCAACAACAACTCCTACTTGCATGTTCAATAAGGGCTACTCTTCTAACAGGCCACAGAGGCATCACTGAAAGAAAAGCATAAAAACAGGAGTTCTTTCATTTACAGACGCAGTTTTTAGGTGCAAAAGAAAAGATACAATCGGACTGATCCCATAAGAACATATCTAGTATTTACTCTTCAGTGCACTTAACAGATGTACCAAATGTAGCCGAGTTGGTAATTACTCAAGATACATGGTTGGCAAAGACATAAAAATTCTTCTATTTTATTCTTAAAGCATCTTCTTGTTCACTTTCTTTTTGTGTAAGAAAACGTCGGTTCCTACTTTTGGCGAATTTAGCAACTTGAGGACATTCATGGAGGGAAAAATACCCAATAGCATTAGTAAACAAACAAGACAAAAAAAAAAGAAGAAGCAGTAATGATGAGTTAGCTTGTATCCATTATCTAAGTCGTATGTATCGTAATACATACATTGTTTCTTCATTTACATTTACAAATAGCTCTTAAGAGTACAGATTGACAGGAAAATATTGCATGGAGTCCTCTATTATATAAAAAAAAAACCAACCCAACTAAATTTCAGAAATATGCCAAAATTGGACAGAATACAACTCACAACCAACTGATGAGAGCAGTGTGTGGGACAAAGCAAAATAAGAGAGTGGTAAGTTACTACGTAGAGCAGTTCTAAGCTGACCAGAGCTACTCACAGGGAAGTTCCTAGGCAGCAGCAGATTCTAGGTCTATACAGAAACTGCTATGACTACAAGTATTCCATTGATTTGAAACAGAAAATACTGCTTGTATTATTTTTCAAGTGTCATTTTATATCGAATTATTTACTACCTTAACAGGCCTTTGGTTTGGTTTCTACTCCAGTCATATTTGTCTTACGCTGGTAAAACTTTTCATCCATCTTAAACATATCTGGTTTGTCCTTTCTGTTTTCTATAAGGAAAGTTAACTGTTTCCTCTATTCCACTCTGTTGCCATTTCATAAATCTTGCGCTTCTGCTACTCCATCATACATTCTCCTTTTAGGTCTTTACTCCAATTGCATTCACTCTTCTCCGTCAAGAGAACCATCAAGGAAAGGATATTATACAAAAGGTACAAACTGTCAGCCGAAGGGGGGGAGATGTTATTAGTTTGTCTTTGCGTCAGAGACCACAGGGAACAAGACTATGCCAAGGTAGGTCACATAGCTTTCCAATAAAAGCTCAGCAATGACAGAAGCAATGACAGCAGAAAACCAGTTCAGACTTTGCGCATAGAAAAGGGGACTTAAGTGCTATTTAAGGAAGTATCCTTGGCTTAAGAGAGCTTTTAAGTCAGTGGCCAGAGAGCACAGAAGGATGCTCTCAGGCCCATCGAACAAGAATCATACCATTAACTGATAAAAATAATTTCAGATGGAATACAGAGGGCCCACATTTCTCCAAGTATAAACAGATATCACTTGGCAAAAACAGTACTGCAGAACTGTTTGAAAACTATAAACACTATCTGTCACAGCAAAGTAAGCAATGCAAGTAGCAACAAAATCTGCAGTTAAAACAGTCTGACAGCTTTCATTACAGCTCTCTGTTTTCATTTGATGAATTTGAAAACTCACAACAAAATGCCCTCGTATGCCTTTCAGGTTTTGGTTTGGGTTTTTTGGGGTTATTTTTTTGCCCAATGCTATACATGATAGGTTTGGGGATAGACTTTCAAAGATAATTTAAAAACGTTTAGTAAATGTTTTTGTCATGAGATTTTAACCCTTACATTCTAGATTTTGAAATTTTACATGGAAATCAAATTGATACAAGAGGAGAGTCTCTGTCACATACCAACACCATGTAAATTTACTGGTTATATATGCTTTGGTAAGAGTACCAAAAGAAATGGTATGACATTTGGACTCTGTCCCCAAAAATATTGCTTTAGAGTTGTGGGTGAGGAAAAGATGTTGTACAAAAACTATACTAATTTGATTTTAATCCATTTAATTAGTAGACCTAAAATGTTCTTAACACAGAAACATCGGCTTGTAGAATCTTCCTAAAAAAGAGTTCTAAAGCAACCCCATATGCCCGGTTTAAGGCAATTTACTACCTTTACCAATAGCTAGGAGGACATAAGTCACTGCTGACCAAACGTCCCATCAATGTTTGTACCCTTTATATAATAATTACAGTTGGGAATGACTCGCTTACACAGACCAAGTGCACATTCTAAGAAAGCTCTATATATTTTAACCCGTTCAAATTCCAGATTATATTTCCACAAAGTGAGTACATGTCAAACACTGCCATTGCTTGAACAAGCAATGAAATCCTAGAAAGCCACTAAACCTTAGAGGACTTTGCAATTTATGGCAAAAATTGATGATCACAGTTCCAAGGCAGATAATTATTCATCAAAAGAACCTGAGCTCTCAGAGAACTGTTGGAAAGAAGGATGAAAATATTCTCTTTTATCTACCCAAGGCTTGTATCAGACAGGAAGACAGAGATAATATTGCCGCCAATACCATTCTCACTGATTCAGAGTACGCAATGACACACAGCTCTGCTCTTCTCTTCAAAACAGATGCTACGAAAGGGAAGGATCCTGAAAACAGCTATGTGAATGATACAATATCTGGAAAGAATGTCTGTTTAGTCTCTTAACAAGAACCTTCCTTGTTTATCAAGAAGAAAAAAGAAATCTTGATCACACTATATAAACACCTACAAAAGGATGATTTTTGCAAATCCCTTAAATTTAGTCAAAGGCATGAAGTGATTTGTGTAGTTTTGTGGCTTCTGACATTTCTTAACTTGGAGTGCCTGACTTGGCATTGTTGAATTGTTGCTTTATTATATTTATTTTTTTCGGTGTGTAACACACTATGAAAGGCCAGTGCCACACTAATCATGCAAGAAAGACCCATCAAGGGTCAGAGAGTGCGCGTGTTCTATCTGCAAGCCACAAACCCAAACTCTGGAATGATACAGTACAGGAAATATCACTGTACATTAGTTTTGCTTTTATAGCTTTTCCTCGGTACCCACGAGGTCACTCTCAGAACAGGATGCAGGATCAGATGAACCTTCAGTCTGACCCTTGAAAGGTGTTCTTGTGTTAGTGTGAAACACATCATACGCCGAGTCAGTTATCTTTTCAGAAAGTACAAATTCAGGAGACATAATTCTAAAGGCACATTCCACAGATAATTCGGAGAAAGAAAACAAGCATTAAATCTGGTATCTATGGACAACAACTAATCCAATATTTACCTTATGTCTTGCAAAGCTTTTATATAGTGAAAATAGTACTACAACTAACTAAAGAAACAATCACATGAAAATAGACAAAGAAGAGAGAGAGGTTTCCAAACACCTGTATTTTCTCATCTTTCACCAACTACTTAAGAAAAAAAAAAGCAACGTTAAAAATATTTCTCAGAGCTGATGCCTTCAGAAATTCAAAGGGATTGAAAGACATCTGGTAACTATTGATGCAGTGTAATCTTTTTCCTTACCTATTTTGGAAGCATTTACTCTTTTAAATGCCAATATTTTAAATGCACTTGAAGTGAAGGAGGAACAGTCTTTGCCCATTTCTATACTGTAACTGTGATTTAATTAATTAAAACAGACAGTTTAATATTACCGTTGTTCTTCAGAGCTAAACGTGAAAATTAAATCCTTACAGAATTGAGAAAGCTGAAAAAGAAACGATCTTAAGTACCATCTGGGAAGGTTTGTATCTGTTCAGTGTCCCCAATGGGTGTTTAGTTAAAGAAAGCAAAATGCAAGCCTATAACAAAGAAGTTTTAATTGGGCAGAGTATTATCTTATTTCTCAAAAAAGAAAAGAACAACTTAGTAATGTGCTAGTAAGAAAATTATGGTCTTAAAGATAACCTCAAAAAGAGAGGTTGCAGTAGAAAATTTAAGTTTTCAAAAGTGTTTTCTCTGCATCTTTCATACTAAAACCTTCTATATTGGCAAACTTATGAAAGCACAAGCTACTAAAAACTGGCATAAACAATAAAGAAAAGAACACTCAGAACTTCTGCTCAAAATTTGTTTCTATTACAATGCCTAAAGCATAGGAGAAAAGAACATCCCTCAGTATCCTAAGGGAATAAAATTCTCCACTAAAGCCAACAAAAGAACATTTTTATAATTATTTTCAGCAGACAGATAAAACCTTTAAACCTTTATAGACAATAAAGCAGCAAAGAGTCAACCTCAGCTACTGAAATTATTCAGCAGG